CCACAATTGGACCTCGTCAGTACGACGACTGTGGTAACAATATAATTTAGTTAAGAGCAAGAATTAACTCGTTCCCTCGCAGCTCTGTCTGTGCGCCTACGCTGTTGGAGAGTTTTACGAAATCTCTATCAGTTGGTTCCCGCTTCATATTCTTGGCGCGCCTTGACCCAGCACCGAAAATGCATCATCCTGGCGCACTTGTTCTGCCTTTTTCCTGCTTTTCTGGGTTGTTTTGGAGCGAGATACACGGGATTTCACGTTTTTCGCAACTTTTCGTACATAAATTTCCCTTACTTCGTCAATTTTTCACAAAAGTTAAATTTTAGCAATGTCTGGAAACGATGATGGCGCAGGTACAACGCTTACAGCGTTCAGACGTCGACGAACGGGGACGAGGAAGGGTGTGGCCGAGGCAAGCCGAAAAAGAGTGGCCGAGTCAAATTCATCGGATAGTGCCGGTGAGGGTGGTGTTGGTGGTGTGGTGAAAACAGCTACAGCGACTCGAAAGCGACGAAAAAATCCGATGATACAGTCGGTATGCTTTAGCAAATTATCATATTGAAAAGCGCAAAAAACACTCTTCATGTTTTATAATACTTTCTTTTTATAAATTTTGCATATAATTAAGGCTTTCCCTTTGTCACTTTGTACTCATCAAACTTTCTTTTTTTTGTGTGTTTTGTGCTGCATAACAGCAGTAGGAAGCTGAAAATTTACGGGAACGTTTCCCACCCATGTATGGCCCAGCAAACTTAAATTCAGCTTTCCCGTACTCGCGGGTAGCGCGTACGATCCCGTGAAAGTTTTTTTTACGGGTAAGTTAATATCTCGGGAATCACGGAGTCTAGGAGGCTGAAATTTTAGGGTAATGACCCGCTGCCCACGCTCAACCTTGCCTATTTAAATTCAGCGTTCTCGCGCTCTCGGATACCACCTACAACCTCGTGAAAATTTTGGCTGCTAAACTATTAACTCGGGAATCACGGAAAGACATTCATCCTTCAAGGTTTCGAATTCATCTTTCATGCGCTGTTGCGTGAAATTTTTAACTATTTTCCAATGTTTGAACTATTTTTACATAGACTAAAGTACAAAGCAGTGAAAATCATTAATAGGCA